AAGGACAAACATTTCTCAGCTCTGGGACAATGTAAGGCCAAGTAAAGGAAGAGAAACATTTTCCTAAATACAGTGAAATTCATACAGATTTCCCTGCTCTTAACAGAGATGGCACTGTACATGATTATGCAGAGAGAAGTGGTTTCCCATTGTGCATCCTCTGGGTTTCAAACTGTCCCAACTAGAGCGTTTGAAATAATAGGACTATTTACTGCTGATGGATACTTTTCAGTGACACAAAAAGATCTGGCAGTAGCTTTGAAATTATATCTTTACAATACTAGGTCACAGCAAATGATCACTATCTGTGTTTTTCTTTGTTGCTTGCACTTTGGTGTCATATCCAAGAAACCATTGCCTAACCCAAGGTCATAAAAATTTATGCCTGTGTTTTCTTCTAAGAGTTTTATAGTTTTACCTCTTAGTATAGGACCAATCCATTTAGAGTTCATTTTTGCATGCGGATATTCCGTTTTCTCAGCACTATTTATTGAAATGCTTAAGTTTTAGAAGCCATGTGTCTGTCAGAGAGGCAACAACTATGGGTCCTGGATCCAGGAAATCCTGGGTTTGAAATACAGAGCCTGCATCTAATAAAGATACATATACACATACATACCCTGTTAGTTCTGTTTCTCTGGAGAACCCTGACTAATACAGCTGGATCCATCTCTCTCTCTCCATCCAGCTCTCAGACAGACTACTACAAGGTGTGCAGGATAGACCAACACTCATAACCTACCAGCAGAAAGAGTACATCTTCTCTGATAGCTGTGCAGAAAGGTCCAAGGGAAATTCTTAATAGTGTGGCTTGCGCCAAATGGCTTTCCCTGAATCATTCACTGTAGTTAGATGGGTAAAAGACCTTGGTATTAGTAGCTTCAGGGGTGGGGGAAGATGACTGCATATGACAAGGTCAGCTCTACCTAAAATATATGAAATGGGTTCCCCATATGACAGAGTGTTAGAGGGGAGAGGCATACATGACAGGCAAGACCACTCCACCAGTCCTGTCTGGACACTCAACTAGAGGATTACTGACCCTGCCTTGGTTTATGTTTAGCAAAGCTATCCCATTCCTAATAGAGAAACAGTAGGGATAGTACATTGATTTCAGTTTTAAGGCAGCATCTAAAAAGAAACTGCTTCTGCTTTCTAACTCCAATAAAAGTTACTAATGACCTTATTACCTATAAACCTCGGGTTGTATAAAAGCATTATATAACAAAGAATTTTTAAATGGAATTACTTATTTTTAAAATTCATTATCATAATTCCAGAGCAATAGAACAAATACACAAAAGTGTCTAATATTTTAACATATTAGAGTGGTAGTATAAATTGTTATCCACTTAGAAATGTGTGTAAAGAGACATGACATGCAATTCCCTTATATCCAGTTTTAATTATATAAGTGCATCATAAGTTTTCTGTTTTTATTATAGATACACTGTTCAGAATTTAATTGCAGATGCAGAAAGTTTCAAAGCTGTTATTTTGTCCATAATTTCATATGCTCCTATCATAGTTAGTGCACGAGTTAGTTGGTCTCTTAAAGCAGTAGTGGACGAGCTGTTACTTTCCATTTTCCACCTCTCAAGTGCTTGGAGGACTCTCTCTTTTAATGAAACAGTGCTGAAAAAGTTTTTAAATAATAATTATATAAAGAACATTGTTTTAAACTACCAAATATTGTATGTCTAGGTTTTTAAACAGATTTACCAGACTGAAGTGAGGATTAAATGAATTGGTAAACATAGTCTACATAAAAATTTAGCAGAGTTTAGCACATAGAAAGGAAATGTTAGCCCTGAGCCACCTTGCTTCCTTGTAGAAAATCAACAATTCAATTAACATTCAATTCTGATTTACTCGAGGCCTCAAAACAAAATTATGGATTATTCCCTATAAACCAGCACACTACTGCTACAGTACCACATGGTTTATAACTTGATCTCATGTACAGTACCACATGGTTTATAACTTGATCTCATGACAACTCTCTTAGATAAGTTTATCCATTTTACCAGTGAAGAAACTGAGGCACAGAAAAGTAAAGAGAATTGCCTGAGGTCACAAAACTGGTTGGGATTTAAAGCTAAGCAGTCTGTGACTCTGTTGGGTGTTGTCCCGTGCACCAGGAGGTTGTCAGTGGGATTCCCTGTCAGAGCACGTCGTCATTGCCAGCTCGATGCCCAGTAGGGGGCATGCAGAAGACAGTCGGTTTCTCTCTTCTCTGCATCACATCAATGTGTCTCTCCCTCTCTCTTCCTTCCTCTCTAAAAATCAATAAAGTATTCTTTAAAAAAATAAAAATAAAGCTAAGCAGTCTGTCCTTAGAGCCCTTGCTCTTAACTACTTCCTATACCCACATGGGTCTTAAATATATAATAAACTAAAATTAGTGTTTTATAGCAGATTAGAATTCATGTTAATATGAATGTTTCAAAACCAGGTAATATTAATATAAATCAGAACATAAGAATAACCTTATACCAAATGTTGTCATTCATACATACCTCTTTGTAGACATGTCTGTTTCTGAGATTACCACATTTAATTTTTTACACAAAAATTTAAAATTTGTTTCAGTGATGTTGTTGGCAACTATCTTGAAGATCTTCTCTAAGAGTTTCTCTACATTTGAATGTAAAAGAAAATTAGGCCAATAATTTTGAAAAACATAGTATGTTTTGAGTTAATATTACATCTAGGTTTCTTCTGTGCTCCTACCAAATGTATATGTCAAGTAAAATTGAAAAGTAAAACGCAGACCTGATACACAAACTGGCTTTTTTTATGTGCTTCTTTATGTCCTATCCTGAAAAGCCAAGTTCACATCTACTTTAAATACTGTGTAGGCCCTGGCGAGGTAGCTCAGTTGGTTAGAGCTTTGTCCCGATATGCCAAGGTTGCGGGTTTAATCTCCAGTCAGGGCATATACAAGAAGCAACCAATGAATGCATAAGTAAGTGGAACAGCAAATCAATGTTTCTCTCTCTTTCTCCTTCTTTCTTCCTTCCTCTCTCTCTCTAAAATCAATAAAATAAAATATATGGTGTATATGTGCATATTTTATATTCAAACACTTATTTAATGAATGTTGACTTAAATATAGAGTTTTTAGTTTATTTTTTAAAAGTTTCTAGCTAATTTGAACTATATTCATTTTTTTGCTGTTATCGACCCAAGGTACTTTGGGAATTTTTAAGTACTAACAATCTCCCACCCCTCTGTAATCATCTGAAATACGTTCTATGCTTTCTGTTTTTTAACTTTATTCATACCATTAATTCCTCAAGCGAGATTGTATGCTATTGATATAAACAAAAATCCAATCTTCTAGGTAAAATTTTTAGGAAGGGACCCCATTTTTTTTTGTTAATTGTACAATAAATACATTTCCCATGATGACACCCTCTCTACTTTCCCTGAGCACCCAGCTTACAGTATGAAGGCCCCTTGGACATAAAGAAAGGAGATAAATGGCTAGGGTTCTCTTGTTTTTACTGACTTTGATCTGTTGCCATTGCCCATTGTACTTTTGCCACAGAGGCTAGAACCACATGAATCCTCCTTCCTCAAGAACTGGAGTAACAGAATTTGAGCATGGAGGTTCATTCATGAAGTTTACAGCCTTCTCTAAAGCACTGTTACCTACCTAACAGGAATTATTTATGATCCTTGGAAACCCCTAAAATCTTTATTTTACAGAAATAAAGTTATCACAAAAATGTCCCTTTTTTATGATAATAATTAGCAGAACTGACTTGGTTATTAGCAAATTAGAGAAACAGTGACTGTGACTTTTCATTTTATTTCTTGGGGTTTTTCCATCAATGAGGCTCAAGTCTTGCAAAAGCTTCTGAATGATAGCCATATACATGGATGTATATTGCGGCTTACAAGAGGACTGTACATTTTTAGTGACCACCTCACTAGGTTATGAGATTATGCTGATGTATGCTTCTGATTACATAAGACAAGGGTACATGATTGATAATTTTGGGGCACAGTTTTATATATTCAGATTTTGTATACCCAGACTTCCCCAAACCTGGAACAATATTTATTAAATTGATTTAATACTTCTTAAATGCTGCACTAAAATGGAGGACCTAAATCTGGATCCATTCTTAGATTGACATGAGCGGCAAAGTCAGAGTTGTAGGAAAAAGCTTAGTTGCTGGGAAAGAATTGGAACTTCCCTCCCAGAGTCTTGGAGAAACCAGTCTCCATCTGGCCCAAGGAAGGACATTTAAAGAAAATGGACCTGCTTTGTGAAATAATCAGGACAACCAAAGGAGCACTTAAGGACAGAAGGAATGAAGACTGCCCAAGGACTGCAGACAGGTGATCATAGTGGGCCAAAAACTGACTGGCATCAATGAAAAGGCGCTATGGACTTCCTTCAAGGCCAAATATAACTTTTAGAACAACTATATATGGTGATACTGATCAGAAGTGCTGAAGAAATATGGGTGTAAATTCTCTGAGTCTGGCCACAACCATGATGAAAAACCTATTGAAGGGCACTGAGACCAATAGGTGGGAAGCAACGCAACCCACTGACCGCTTGAATTTAACTGTTGGTTCAATTATTCAATTTGATTGAACCCAGATTAAATAATCTGAATTACCAAAATAAACTCTTAACCTGGGGAAGATGATAAATATTTTAATGTCTCTGCCAGATTAAAAGATTCTAATTAAAGCAAACTATCTTTTTATTTACAGATGACATATAGAAAATAACTCATAAGCTAGTCACTCACTCATCACCTACCATCTCTTTCTTCTGTCCTCTGTAGATAGCATGCAATAGTATGCAGTTGTTTTCCTTTACAGATTTCCATTGGAGGTCTCAGCAAAGGGTTATCATCAAAATTTATATCCTTCAGCGAAGAAAGGTTATGAATACCACTAGGCAGAGCTGTAAGATTATTTCCTAATAGAAAAAAATTATAATTGAATTGTACCTTTTTCTGTAAAAGAAAACTATGGAGACAAATAACTATCTATAGGGCATCTACTGCATCTCACTGGCAAAGTACCAGAGAACCTCAACATGCTGGCTAATTGTAAGTCATAAGTTCTTACTGTTGTCCACTTGCTAGGATTGAAAAAGAGAAAGTATAGAAGTGACAGTGGTTCCTTTCTCTCCTGGAGGATGGCAAAATGAGAAAAGAGGCTTTCCTCCTATAATACAGGAAAGGACTTTAGAGTAGGTGTGATGGTAATTTTTTAAATAAACTTTTATTTGGAATAATTTCAGGTTTACAGAAAAGTTGCAGAAATTGTAGGGAGTTCCTTGTGTACTCCTCAGCTAGTTTTAGTTTCCCCTAATGTTATCATCTCGTTACAGTGTTACATTTGTCAAATTTAAGAAACTAACATTGGCACATTACTATTAAATAAACTGGACATTTTTGGATTTCATTAGGTTTTCCATCAATGTCCTTTTCCTGTTCAGAATCCATTTCAGGACAGTGCACTGCACACAGCTATTAGTCTCCTCTGGTCTGTGGCAGTTTCTGTCTTTCCTTGTTGTTCATGATATTGATAGTTTGAGTTGTACTGGTTAAGTATGTTGTAGAATATTCCTTAACTTGAGTTTACCTGGTATATTTTCTCATGATTAGACTGGAGTTACAGATTTTTGGAAAGAATACCATAAGGTGAAGTACCCTCATCATATCACATCTGGGTACCTGATACCCCCATGACATCAGCAGGGATATTAAACTTGATCCCTTGGCTAAAATAGTGTCTGCCAGGTTTCTCCAATATAGTGTTTGGATTTCTTTTTCTTTTCCATACTGTTTTTTAGAATAGAGTTACTAAGCCTAGTCCATCCTCAAGTAGGGATTAAGCTAATAACAGTCCTTCAAAATATATGAAAAAATTGACAAAGCAAAAATTATACAATTCCACAAATATAGTTGTAGATTTTAACACCCCTCCCTAAGCAATTAATGTAGCAAGACATACATATTAGTAAAGATAGGAGAGTTCAACGAGATTATCAATCACCTAGACCCATATGAATATCAGTTCATAAAACATTCTACCTAACATTTGCAAAATACTTTTGTTTAAGAGTAAATGACATGTATATCAAGGTAGCTTATATGCTGGGCCATAAAGCTAGTCCCAGTAAGTTTAAAAGGATTGAAATCACAGTTTAGATGACCACAAGGAAACAATTGCTTTCCTATGTGTCTATCAATAGTAGAATAAATGAAAGAGTATATTCATATAGTGGACTATATACAGCATTAAGAGTGAATTGTCTACAACTACACAGAATAATATGAATGAATTTCACAAACATAATGTTGAGTGAAAGAATCCATACACAAAAGAGTACATGCTTTGTGATTTCATTTAAGACACACTATTGGAAATCATGATAATAGTTAACCTTGGTTGAGAGAGGGGAGAGAAATGATTGAAGGGAGCAAAAAGGGGTTTCTGGGAAAGTCCTGTTTCTTGATCTAAGTCCTCACATATGGGCTTTTTCGGTATGTGAAAATTCATTGAGTTGTACATATACAAGTACTTTTTTAAAAATTAAGATATAATGGAAATATCAGGCGAGCAACATAATTTGATGTTTGTATATATTGTGAAATGATTACCATAAATCTATTTAAAATTCATCACCATATATTGTTATAAATTTTTTCTTGCAATAAGAACTTTTAAGACCTACTCTCTTAGCAACTTTCAAATATACAATAAAATATTAACTATAGTCATCGTACTGTACATTACATCCCCATGATTCATTTATTTTATAACTAGAAGTTTGTACCTTTTGACCCACTTTGCCCACCCCTCACTCCCCCAACCTCTGGCAATCACCAATCTGTTCTCTGTATCTATGAATTTTTGTTTGTTCGTTTGTTTTTTAAAGATTCCACATATAAGTGAGATTATTAGTGTTTGTCCTTCTCTGACTTATTTCACTTAGCATAGTGCCCTCAAGGCTCATCCATGTCACAAATGGCAAGACTTCCTTCTGTTTATGGAGGAATAATATTCCATTATATATATATATACATATACATTATATACACATATAATGTATACACACACACACATAACACATTTTATTTATTCATCCATCCACTGGGGCTGATAAATACCAGGAACATATACAAGGATATAGATAGCAGCAAGCAAATTGGAAGCAACTTAATTGTCTATCAACAGGATAATGGATTAATTGTTGTTTAAGCAGATAATTTGATATGCAGCATTTAAAATGAATGAAATAGGTCTGTGTATATACTAACATGAATTAATTTTAGAAATATGATGAATGAAAAAACATATAAGAATGGTAAATTACATACCATATATTATAAGTTTTAATAAAGTTTAAAAACATTTTTTATGGATATATCTACATACATATATATAAACATGGATGCTAAAAAGATATGTACCAATTTCAGTACAGTGATTACTTCTAGTTTGGGAAAAGGTACAAAAGAAGTTTCAACTCTATTATTTTATTTCTTAATCAAAAATATCTCAAGTAAATATCACAAAATCAACATTCTTTATGTCTGGGAATAGGTACATAAGTACTTATTATTTTCTGTAAGTTTGAAATATTTCATAATAAAAATTATTTTTTAAAATACCAGTCTAGTGTTTGTTGTGCTTTAGGAAATCTTTAGAGAGAGTGATTTACTTTTTGTTTGATAATGTAATGACTACCTTGTAAAAGACTGTAAGGTATTAGAATATAATATAGTATAGAAATGGGGTCAAGGGAGCCAGCAGAGAAGGGAAAACAGAAAATGCTGCCTTAAGGTTGTATAGGTAGGTGTGTGTATGGGGAGGGAGGAGGTCAGGTTCAAAAAGGAAAGAAAAGATATAGGCAGAGAAGACAGAATGAAAAAATGTTCCGGTTCCCCAAATGCATTATAACCTCTTTCAGGGAAGGAACCGGGCCTTATGCTCTGCTCACACGTTATGTACCTCTGATGACCATTCCCTTCCAATGGGCGCTTAATACATTATCTTATCTGCTTGCCGTTCTGTCTTGTTAGTAAAATTTGTAACCTAGACACTAATACTCTACTTATTGATTATGCTTGACACTCACCACTCAAGTTTAGTTGTTGGAGTTTGTTTAGAGATAGAAAAGATGGTGGCAGATAACTTATTTGATTACTGCATGCATTTAAACTAACCAAACTTCTCAATTCCCCTATATTTCTTGGAATCTCTCGGATTGCATTATTTGAGATATCAAGTCCTTTAAGTTGAGTCATATTAGACAGCTCTTGTGGAAGTCTTGATAACTGTAACAAAGATTAAACAATTATATTTTAATAATTATTTCTATGACTAAAGCTTCTAAAATCAAATGGAAGGAGGGAATTTCTTGTCTTACAAAGAAGATTTTTTCACTATGTCACAAATTCTTGTGACTCCTTTGCTAAAACCCACCACATACTGTGTTGTATACGAGTACTGACTCATGCTACCAATTCAACCCTGGGCTTTCCTCACTCTCTAAACACTCCATGTTCATTGCCACCTTGTCCCTTCCTAAATCTGACCCTGCTTTGGTTTATTGTCTTCCCTGAATTCTTTTCCATTTATCCTGCCCCACATTTGATTTCATTATTCCTAATCTCATCAACACTGGTTTTTTTTTAGTCTCTTGTGTGTTTTCCTTGGATTTTTAAATGACGATATACCTTTTATACTTTTTGTATGCGTGTTCCTAAGCTTGGTGCGTTTTGAGTATATGTTCAATAAACCCCTTTAGAATGGATTCACACAGTTTGGCAATTTAACTTCAAATTAATATTCCTGGTACAAAAAGCACTGCAAAATAACAGGAATTAATATACTCTACTAAGGTGAAGAAAAAAGGTGTGCATTCAGAGAAACAAGGCCATCACAAATGGCTTTTGAAACAAAGGAGGCTCTATGAGTAAATAAAAGAGTGTTGAATCTACAGGCCCCTTAGAAATATCCAAGCAAGGTAAATACTGGATATTGTGCTCAGTGTTCTTCCAGATATAAAAGAAGCATAAGAGACGGCCCCTAACTTCAAGGAGAGTAAAGTTTAGTTCAGGGGACAACACGTACGCATACGAAAAATCAGGAAACAGCGTTAAGTAAGAGGTAACCCAGAGCCAAATAAAGAGTATGGAACAGAGATGTGGATGTGTAGAGAGGGAGATAAGCTTGGGGAAGGAGCATGGAACCTGGTTACAGGAAGACGTGAGAGCCGGACCTGTGAGGCAGGAGGCAAGATCAAGGCGTGTAGGAAGGTCCATAGTTTGACATTCTTTCAAACAAATGTTCTTGAACTGCTTGCTCAGCACTTATTAGAGGAAGTGCCTGGGAGCTGCCTGATGGCCGAGCTACTGTGGAAGGAAGATTCCTTCTTCGCACCCTTCTTCACGTCGCAAAATAAAAGCCCAGAGTTTAACCTGACTCGTCTTCCGTTGACTGTTCAGCGGCCATCTGCTGTATATAAATTAGTCCTTTGGGTATGTCACCTCCATCCCAAGGAAGTCATCAGAGTGATCTTTCCCATCGTATAGAATACCCTTGTTGAGAGGAGTTTTTGTAAATCATTCTTTTCTATCCGTTGACCTTTAAAACGATGTCATAATGATGTGGACTGGTGGCTTTACAGCTACCCACCGTAAGGAGGCAATAGATATGCAGTCTGGATTCCTGAGAACGGTCCTCTGGGGTGAAGTCTGATAGTTTGGGTTTTTTTAACCTTTATAGATTTTTAGACAGAGAGGAAGGCAAAGTGAGAGGATTACAAATTAGCTAAGAAACTCATTGATTATAATACAGAAAAAGGGAGAGAGATTGAAAAACACTGGCCCCTACACGCACCCAGATCAGGGAGTGAGCCCAAAACCTGGGCATGTGCCCTGACTGGGAATTGAAGCAGTGACCCGTCAGTGTACTGGATGACATCCATCCAACTGAGCCACGTGGGCCAGGCCTGAAGTCTGACAGTTTTGACAAGTTCTGAGAAAGGGAGGAGACTGGATGAACGAGAATAGTCAGGAGGCTCCTGGAGTAGTCTAGGCACAACATGAGCGATAACCACGGACCAGGATGGACACAGTGACACTGGAAAATGGGGGAGATCACCCAAGACCTTTTTCAGAGAAAAAAAGAGACAATTCTGGTGTAAGATCCAGTATCATGGTGATGGAAAAGGAACAGTCAGAGATGATTCCGTGATTTGTAGATTGGCAGGGTTAAAGAAAGTGGCATCACAAACAGAAATGGAGAGGTTTGGAATGGGAGAAAGGAAAGTTTGAAGTTGTGTTGAACTTGATCCAATAGAAGAATAAAAGAACAGAATTTCCGGGGAAATTAAGAATTGTGGGACTAGACCACGGGTGAGAGATCAGCCGCAGTTATGTGAGGGTGTGGTGAGGTCTAGGAAGGAGTTAATAGAAAAGAGAAAATTAAGAACACAACCTGTACACTCCCACAGTAAGATGCAGGAGGGAAAAGTGAGAGGATTACAAATTAGCTAAAGAATTCATTGATTATAATACAGAAAAAGTGTCTTTTAATAAAAGAGCATCTTTTAAAACACACGTATCATTATTCATTCCATCCACTTAAGCAACTATTCCCTGGAGTAGCCTTTCCGGAAATGTACGGTATAGCAGGTGTTAGGTTAAAAAAGGTGAAATAAGTTTGGGAAATATGGATTAAATAGACACAAATCAGTTTCTTTAGTGCAGGACTCTTTAGAGCTTTTAATATACTAACATTGACTGTGATTCTAAGAGAGAACCCAGTGCTTCTCAAAGCCAGTTGATAATAGGAACCCCTCTACCTCTCTCTACTCTCTTTTGAAGCAGCTCATGGCACTAGTTTTTTTAGGAACAGACTTTGGGAAATCTTGCTCTAGATAATAGTCTGGCCTCTATCAAAGGATTTTAATTTGATTGTGGTAGTCAAATTAAAGATAGCCGGTTAATGTCCTTCTCATTAAAAGAAGTCAATATAAATCAGTAATATTTTAAAAGTAGTTCATAAAATTCACTCTTAGAGTTTGAGTAAAATTAAATGCTAAACTATAAGAACATTTATTCCCATTGATCTGGCAATTTTTAAGGGAAAATTCCCTAAGGAAATAGTAAAATATGAAAAAGGCTATATTTAAAAAGTTTATCACATGCATTATTTATGATGATGAAAAATCACAACTTCCCTAAATGCTTAACAGAGATTAGTTGCTTAACAATGTATTGGTTATAACAATCATGTTATATCATGGGGAAATGCTTATAACACATTAAGTGAAAATAGAAGAATTTAATCTTGAATGTAATCTTTTTATAATGGCTTATAAAACCATACACATAAGGAAAAAAAAGATTGAGAGTGCGTTTTCAACATATAACCAGTAATTATAGTACAATGATGTACTTATAGAATGATTTTTTTTTTTTTACTTTTCTCAATTTTCCAAATTTCCAGTAATGTGTTTATATTAATCCATAACTTTAAAACTCCTTTTATAATTAAACTAAAATAAAAAGGTATGTATGTAATTATCAGCTTTACTTGGCATTTCATTTTAATGAAATATGCTCCTATAAAGCTTTGCATTGAGAACTGTATTTGTAAGCCATGTTAGAGGTTAAAAAAAGCCTATCCTTTAAAAAATAAACAGTTCAGCTAAATTTAAAACACATACACATACACTACATCATAGTTTCTGATCCCCTCCAGTCCCCGCCCCCCGCAAAGCCCAAAATATCAGTCTCTTACCTTTTTCCCATTTATCTGACTTATATTTAGCTCTTCCAGTGATTGAAGTTGACACAGTTCAGTAGGAAAATATATAAATTGATTGCTTGAGATATTTAATTTCTGAATTCCTTTTAAGTTACAGATCTCTGAAGGGATTTTCTGTATTTGGTTTTCTGAAATATCAAGTACTTGCAAATTTGGTAAAGTACACACTTCTATCGGGAAAGTTTCAAATTTATTACAGCATAAAATAAGAACGTGGAGTGATGCCATATTGGAAATAGATGGTGGAATTCCCCTTATTTGATTTTTACTAAGATCCAGGTATTGAAGATTAATAAGAGAACATAAGTGCTCAGAAAATGTGAGGAGTTTGTTTTCATTAAACTCTAAATGAAGCAGTTGTTTACTGAAAGATATATCCACAGGTATTTCTGAAATATAATTTCCATTAATACTCAAATAATAAAGATACTTTAAAGCACACAAACCTACTGGAAAATACCTAATTTTATTTTGACTCAATTCAACTTCAGTTATTTTCCTGCAGTTTTTTATTTCAATGGGAATATCTGTGATCATATTTCCTGACAATTCTAGACTAAGCATATTATTAAGATATGAGATAGCTTCAGGTATTCTCACTATATTATTTCTGTTTAAATGGAATTTTCTTAAATTTTTGAGCTTGTGGATGTTCTTAGGAAGGTGTTTTAATTTATTATCACTAAGACTAAGGCATTCCAACATTACGCAGTGGGAAATATTCTCTGGTATTTTTTTCAATAAGTTTTTATCAAGTATTAGAATACTAAGTACCCTAAAATTTTCAATTTTGTTTGAAATAACTTCTAATTTATTGTCAGTCAGTTGGAGTTCTTGCATTTTGAGCAGTTGAAAAATTTCCACTGGCAAAAATATAAGTTTATTGTGACCCAGGAAAAGTTTTTCTAAATTTTTAAGCTCACTAATTTCTTTTGGCAAACTGCTTATCAGGTTTTCAGTAAGGTTTAGTGAAATTAACTTTGGAAGGAAGCACAGAGCTTTAGGAAATATTGTTAACTGATTATATTCCAGATTGAGAATGCTCAAGTTTTTTAAACTAGACAAGGTATCTGGTATATGGCTTAACTTATTTTTAGCCAAACTTAAAATTTCCAAGTTTCCAAGTCTTTCTAAGCCAGAAGGAATATTCTCAATGTAATTATTATTTAAAAAGAGTTCCCTCATATTCTCAAGCTGTGATATTTCATTAGGAATATGTGATATTTGGTTGTGACTGACATTTAATATCCTTAAATTGTGAAGTAACTGAATTTCAGATGGAAGTGATGATAACCCATTATCTTGCAAGGATAGAATTTCAAGTCCTAGCAGACCACCTAAGTCTGCTCCTTTAATACTTTCAATTTGGTTCTCATCTAAATATAGATATTTTACATATTTTGTTTTTAAAATTTCCTGAGGGAATTTTTGTAAGCCCTCGGCCTTGAGGTTAACAGTAAAGTTATCTGATCCTAAGTCAAGTCCTTTCTGGTTTTCTTCAGAGAGTTGTGAACTAATTTTTCCTGGTATTTCATGAGATAGGAAGTCAACAAAAGCCTCATATTCAGCAGTCATCTGAATATCAGTAGTTACTGATAATGATGGGCCTTGTGAAGTTTCAGTTGTTGACTGGGAGTTGTCATGTGTATCGACCATTTCGGAAAATTGAATGTTTCCTTGTTCTTCATTTCTCTCAGACTTACTTTCAGAGGAGGAGGTAACTGTATCATTGTGTACACCTACTGTGTCCATTCCAGGTTGTGTTTCACAAATTTGGTCGAAAGGTTTCCCATCAGAAGCTTCCGTTAACAAATCTGATGTATTTTTAATGAATCCAGGCTCCTCTACCAACTGTGATTTAGATTCTTCCCTGAATTGACTAGTGGTATCTTCTATCGCTTCTGAAATAGTCTCCTTTTCAGACATCTTATTTGCTGATAGGTTTTATACCAATACAAGATTGTAACTCAGTTTTAATTGTCATGTTTAATTTTTTTCCTTTGAACCTAGAAAACAAATGTTGGTATTAAAAGAAGAAATGTTAGCCCAGCTGGTATGGCTCAGCAGTTGAGCATCAACCTGTGATCCAGGAGATTGTGGTTCGATTCCTGGTCAGGGACCTGCCTGGGTTGCAGGTTCAATCCCCAGGAGGGTGTGTGCAGGAGGCAGCTGATCAATGACTCTCTCATCATTGATGTTTCAATCTCTCCCTCTCCCTTCTTCCCTCTCTGAAATCAGTAAAAATACATTTTAAAATAAATAAAAGATGTTATAAAAATGTCAAAATTACAAGTGAATTTTAATACACTTTGTATTCTATAATGAGTAATTTAATAAATATAAAAAAATACATTTATAACTAATTAATTTATATATAACTACTGGTTAAGGATGATTTATTGATTACATGTATCATGAAACTCTTGAAATCATATTAAAATTATAGAAAGAAAAAAGATTTTAAAAAATTAGAAAGGATACATAAAAGAATGAAAGAATTCAACAGATTTTTTGGAAGACAAAGGGGATAGTCAGTGGTCCCCCATGCCACATGCAGAGTTTCATGTGCATTGTGGACATTGTAGGCTTATATATGATACTGAAATGTCTTCTCCCAACAAATTTAGTACCTTATGACAATTTCCTGATTGGTAGAAGTAAAAAATCCTTAAGGGTTGCTTTCTGTAAGAGTATACTAGAAGTAAAACAACATTGTCAAGCGCTGAAGAATGACTTTAAGTGTTTTACGTGACTCCTCAGGTACCCGCACAGCTGGCGAGTATCCCTCCTCAGATGTCTGGGTCCCAGCTCACATAGGTCCCTTCTCCAAATCTGTAGTTTTTAATAACCCAACCCCTTTCCTTTGTACCTTTATCACCAGGATGGCACCTACTTCCTAGATTTACTCTCCCTGTGTTATTGCAGTTCCCTCTTACCTTTTCAGATCTCTAATACTTTTCTACACACGTCCCTAAATAAAATCCTTTCTATTAAACGGGTATGGTTTCAATATTTCACAAACTCTCTAAGAGAAGAGAAAAAGAAGGAACATTTTCCAACTTGTTTTATGAGATGAACACTAACCTTCATATCAACACCTAAGGAGGACAATCTGAAAAACAAAATTACAGGCCAATTTTACTCAAGGCAAAAATTCAAAAACATTAAAAAACTGTTCTATTATAAAAATCAGCAATATAGGGATATTAAAAATAGCAGAGGACTGTGTGGAAACTACACTGACACTCCCCCGGGACCAAACTGGAATTACAACTAAAATATGGAAAAACCATCCTGAATAATCAACTGCAACTGAAGACGAGCTGGAGAGCACCCTCATAACCAAGGAGGAAACGTGGAGACCACCTAGAGACTGGTAGGAACTGCGGAGACATGAAAGGGCTCGCTGGGCTCCCACAGGCAGCAGCTGAAGGTCCAGAGGGATATCTCAGCTGTGGGGGTTCCCACTGAGGACTCTAGGGCCTAAACCCCGGGCTGGACTTCCCAGCCAAGAGCACCAGAACTGAGAAAGGTGCCCACATAACATCTGGCTGTGAAAAGCAGCCGGGTTTCTGTCTGCCAGGGAGAGACGGCTGGAACTGCAATCACCCTCTTAAAGAACCAACGCACAAAGTTTTGTGTGTAGCCACTAACCTTGGCCTCCAGCAGAGGAGGGCAGACTGGACTGGAGCTGTGTGAGGAGAATCTAGCATTGTGGGCTCCGAGATAGAGCTCGGAGGGTAGACCTCTGGATTCCTGTGCCAAGTCATTCCTCCATACTGCAGAGGCATTTACCTTCCAAGCAGCTTTTGCCTGAGGGGGAAGCAATTGCCCCACCTGCTGGAAAACCTCTCACAGTACCCCACAGAGTTTCTACAGCCTGAGGCTCATTAAGAGAATCAGATTAATCAGCCTGCAGGCAGAGGCAAACTTTAGAGTGCTTTGAGTCTGCTTGATCTGCTTCAGGACCTGGGCCTTGGAAAAGCAGACTTTGGTGTGCATCTTGGGCCTATCCAATGCACCCAGCCCCAACAGAGGGTATCTCAAGCCATGAGTTGTTAATAGCTTCAAACTGGGTACTCAAGGCCAGTCACAAACAGCATCTGACACTGGCCTGCTCCAGAGACCCTCCAAAAACACTGAGAGTCCTAACAGGCCTACCTAATACATAGAAACAAACCCAAATAGGCAACCAAAATGGGGAAACAAAAATCAAGCCCCAAATGAAAAAATGAGAGAAGTCTCCAGATAAAGAGCTAAATGAAATGGAGATGAGCAATCTATCAGATAAGAGTTTACAATACTGATTGTAAGGATGCTCAACAACATGAAAAAAAGATATGGAAACTATGAAAAATGACCAGTCAGAAATGAAGAATGACATAGCAGAAATAAAGAATACATTGGAAGGGATAAACAGAAGAGTAGAGGAAGCTGAAGATTGAATCAGGGAATTAGACAGGGTGGGGGAAAAATCACTCAATCAGAGATCCAAAAAGAAAAAACAATTAAAAAACAGGACGACAGTCTAAGGGAGCTGTGGGACAACGTGAAATGTAACAACATTCACATTATAGGAATGCCAGAAGAGGTTGAAAGTAAGCAAGGGTTAGAGAACCTGTTTGAAGAATTAAAGGCAGAAAGCTTCCCTAACCTGGTCAAGGAAAAAGTCACACAAGTTCAGGAGGCACAGAGAGTCCCAAACAAGAAGAATCCAAAGAGGCCCATGCCCAGACACATCATAATTAAGATGCCAAGAATTCAAGACAAAGAGAGAATATTAAAGGCAGCTAGAGAAAAGCAATCTGTTACCTACAAAGGAGCCCCCATAAGGCTGACTTTTCATCAGAAACTCTACAGGCCAGAAGGAAATGGCATAAAGTATGCAAGGTAATGCAAAACAAGGATCTGAAACCAAGACTACTCTATCCAGCAAGGCTGTCATTCAAAATAGATGGTGAAATAAAGAGCTTCCCAAACCAAAAAAGGCTAAAGGAGTTTATCACCACCAGACCAGCACTGCAGGAGATGTTAAAGGAGCTGCTATAATTAGAAGTAGAAGTAGAAGCACTTCGAGAAATGTTAAAGGGACTGCTGTAATAATAAGAAGAAATAGAGAGAGAAACATAGGCATAAAGAATTAAAATGGCAATAAATAAGGATCTCTCAATAATAACCTTAGGACTTTAAGGGAGAGATCAAGAGCAATACAGTCATAGTCCNATAACCTTAGGACTTTAAGGGAGAGATCACAGTCACAGTCGTGGACTTTAACACCTCACTGGATAGATCTTCCAGACAAAAAGTTAACACAGAAACAGTGACTCTAAATGGCACACTAGATCAGATGGACTTACTTGATATTTACAGAACATTTCACCCCCTAACTGCAGAATATACATACCTCTGAAGTGCACAAGGGTCATTCTCAAAGACAGANCTCTGAAGTGCACATGGGTCATTCTCAAAGATAGAACATGTTAGGACACAAAACCAGTCTCTACAAGTTCAAGAAGACTGAAATCATATCAAGCACCTCAGATCACAAGGGCATGAAATTAGAAACCAACTACAGTAAAAACACTCAAAAATATTAAAACACATGGAGGCTAAATAGCATGTTACTAAACAATGAATGGGTTACCAATAATACCAAGAAAGAAATCAAAAACTCCCTGGAAACAAACAAAAATGAACACGCAACTGCCCAAAATTTATGGGACACAGCGAAAGCAGACTAAGAGGAAAGTTCATAGCACTACAGGCCTACTTCAAAAAGCAAGAAAATTTTTTAGTAAACTATCTAACCCTACAACTTAAAGAATTAGAAAGCTCAACTGGACCAGAGCTTTTGTTTGCTGGGAGTTTTTTTTATTACTGCTTCTATTTCATCAGTTGTTACGAGCTTATTCAGGTTTTCTGATTCTTCCTGATTCAGTTTTACATGATCTCACTCACATGTGGAATCTAATAAAGAAAACAGACTGAGGAACAAAAGAGATCCAGAGACATAGAAGCATGGAACAGACTGATGAATCTCAGTGGGAAGGCGGGGGTGGGGGAGTGGGTAGGGAGAGACTAATCAAAGAACTTATATGCATATATGCATAACTCATGGACACAGACAATAGTTTGGTGAAGAAGGCCTGGGGTGGGGGGCGGATGCGAGGTGGAGGGAATCAATGGGGAAAAATGGGGGGAATATCTGTAATACTTTCAACAATAAAGGTAAATTTTAAAAAAATTATAAAAGCAGCAATATATAAATAGGAAAATGTTTTGTGATTAAGTTGCATTTGTCCCAGAAATGCAAGTTTGGATTTTAACATTAGAAAATTAACATAATTTGCCACATTAGGAGATTAAAGGAGAAAAATCATATGATCATTTCAATAGATGCAGAAGTAGTTGATAAATTGCAACATTTTTCATGATTTTAAAGAAAATTTTAGCAAACTAGGAATAGATGGGAATTTTCTTAATCTACTAAAGGGCGTCCATAAAAAAGTCCATAATATCACTCTTGGTGGTGAAACAGTGAAAATTTCCCTTTGATATTGAAAGCAAGAAAGTGTTGTCCCCTATCATCATTTCTATTCAACAGTATACTGGAGATCTTACCCAGCAGCATAAGGCAAGGGAAAGAGGTATAAAGATTATAAAAGAAGAAGTAAAACTGCCATTAGTCACAGATAATATAATTATGTATATAGAAAATCCAAGATCATCTATAGATAATTAGAACCAATAAGAACATAAAGTAATGTTGCTGAATACAAATCAACATATAAAAGTCAGTTTTCTTTCTGATGCTAATAAAAAGGAGTTAGAAAATGAAAGTTTAAAGAAGCATCATTTATAATCAAGAAATATCAAGTGCCTACGAATAAATCTAACCAAAAAATGTGCAAGACGCCCTGGACAGTGTTCAGTGGTTAGAGTGTCAGCCCTCACACTGAACGGTCTAGGGTTCGATTCCCAGTCAAGGGCACTTACTTGGGTTGCAGTTTGATGCCTATCCCCTCATTTGTGTTTCTCACTCTCTCTCTCGGCCTTCCTGCTCCCTTCCTTCCACTCTCTCTGAAAAGCAATGAAAAAAATATCTTCAGGTGAGGATTAACAATAACAAAAAAATATGCAAGACTTTTACAGAAAAAAAATGCTACTTAATGTAACTATAAAATGTAATACGAGTAATTATAAAAGACCTAAATAAATGGAGAGGTATTCTTTTCAAAATGATGTATATTTTCAATACAATTCTAATCAAAATCCTAATCTCATTTTTATTGAACTAACAATCTGATTCTTTTTAAAAAAATATATGTTTTTATTGATTTCAGAGAGATAGGAAGTGAGAGGGAGAGAGAGAAACATCAGTGATGAGAGAGAATCATTGATTGGCTGCCTCCTACATGGCCCCTACTCAGGATGGAGCCTGAAACCTGGGCATGTGCCCTGACCAGGAATCGAACCGTGACCTCCTGGCTCATAGGTCAACGCTCAACCACTGAGCCATGCCAGCCAGGCAGGCCTTGCTGTTGAATATCAGGACTTATTATAAATCTATAGTAATTAAGGTGATATGGTATTGGTACAAAAATATACAAATAAAAGAAAAAAGAATCCAAAAAAATGAGGATAGTTTAAGAAGCCTCTGGGACAACTTCAAGGATACCAACATTTGCATCATGAGGGTGCTGGAAGAAGAGAGAGAATATGGAACTGAAAACCTATTTGAAAATACAATTTCAGAAAACTTCCTTGACCTGGTGAAAGAAATAGACACACGAGTCCAGGAAGCACAGAGAATCCCAAAGCAAGATGAATACAAAGAGGCCCACACCAAGGCACATCATAATTAAAAGGCCAAAGGTTAAAGACAAAGAGAGAATTTAAAAGCAACAAGAGAAAAGCAATTAGTTATCTACAAAGGAACTCCCATAAGACTGTCAGCTGTTTCTCAACAGAAACTTTTTAGGCCAAAAGGGATTGACAAGAAATACTCAAGGTGATGAAAAACAAGGACCTACAATCAAGATTACTCTACCCAGCAAAGCTATCATTTATAATTGAAAGGCAGATAAAGAGCTTTTCAGACAAGAAAAAGCTAAAGGAGTTCATCACCACCAAACCAGTATTACATGAAATGTTAAAGGGTCTTCTTTAAGAAGAAGAAAAAAAACATAAAAAATCATGAATAATAAAACGGCAATAAATACATATGTATCAACAACTCCTTTAAATGCAAATGGATTAAATAGGCCAATAAAAAATCATATGGAGATTTGAATGGATAACAAAACAAGACCATTACATATGCTGTCTACAAGAGACTCACTTCAGGTCAAAAGACACACAGAGACTGAAAGTAAAGGGATGGAAAAATATATTTCCTGAAAATGGAAACAAACAAACCAAAAGCTGGAGTAGCAATACTTATACCAGAGAGCATAGACTTTAAAACAAAGACTATAATGAGAGACAAAGAAGAACTCAGCGATTCCACTTCTGGGTATTTATCTGAAGAAACCCAAAACACTAAATCAAAAAGACATATACAACTGTATATTCACTGTAATAATATTTATAATAGACAAGATATGGAAGCAACCTAAGTGTCCATCAATAGATGAATAGATAAAGAATTGGTGCATACATACAATGGAATATGACTCAGCCATAAAAAAGAATGAAATCTTGCCATCTGCAACAACATGGACAGACCTAGAGGGTATTGTGCTGAGTGAAATAAGTCACACAGAGGAAGACAAATGCCAGATGACTATATGTGGAATCTAAAAAACAATATAAAACAACAAGCAGAACAGAAACAGACTCATAGATACAGTGAACATTTTGACAGTTGCCAGATGGGAGGGGGGTTGGGGGAAGTGGGTCAAGAATGTGAAGAGATTAAGATAGGTCCTAGATTTATTGGGTAATCACTTCATGAGTTATATAATGTCTAATCACTGGGTTGTACACCTGAAACTAATATAATATTGTATGTCAATTGTAATTGAAAAATAAAAAATTATTTAAAAAAAAAAAAAAAAAAAAAAAGATATTACTGCAGCCACCTCAGCCTTCAGCAACCACTACCCTGATTAGTTGGCAGCCATGAACATGGAGGCGAGATCCTCCACCAGCTGAAAGACTGCAACTTGCTAAAGGCTCAGATGATAGTTTGCATTTTTATCAATAAAGTATTTCTAATTAAGGTTAAAAAACAAATATACAAATAGATTAGTAGAATGTATAGAAGGCCCAGGAACAGGCATTTGATTATGACATATGGATATGGTTTATGGAAAAGATGGTATTTTGGAGCACTGGAAATAAAGACGGCCTTTTTACAAATGATGCTAGAACAACTAGTGAACAATTAGTGAACTAAAAACTATGTCTGGAAGATATATCCAAGATGTAGTAAAGAGAGATAAAAGGATGGAAAATATGAAAGAGCACATGGAAAATACAGAGAAGGACTAACATATATCTAATTAGAGTTCCAGAAGAAGAAAGTGGACATAGTGGAGGAAAGGCAATATTTAAAGAAATAATGGCTACGAATGCTCCAGAATTGAAAAATATGAATCCACAGATCCATTATGTACAACATACCCAAACCAGAATAAATAAAATTTCATCCTAAAACTACAGAACAATATAAACAAAGAAAATATCATGGGAGTAGTCCAAGGGGAGGGAGGGAACACCTACAAAGGAATGGCAAGATGAACAGCTACGGTAAAAGCTGGAGAACAGTGGAATAACTTACTTGAAATGGTGAAAGTCACTATCCACCTAGAATTGGGTACCCAGCCAAATTATCATTCAGAAGTAAAAGGAAAATAAAAACACTTGACGAAAAACAAAACTTGTAACTTCTACCACCATGAGACTTGCTCTAAAGGAACCTCTAAAAGACGTCAGACAATGCTATCAAGAGGGAATGGTGAGCAAGTAAGACGACAGACACATACGTAAATGCAAAGAAATAGTGGTCTGCAGAACAATAATTGTGTATCATGTCTGTTATTAAAGAAGGCAGAACTGGAATACTGTACAATAATAATTAAGTCAGGAATCTCCCCAAAGAGTTTATTAATTACAGGAGGTAATGGTAACTACAGTGCAGAGGCCCAGTAGACACCTCCTTTGCCAAGTGATTAAAGTCAGTATCACTCATGCATCATGTGCTCCCAGATAAGGAGGACTGAGAAAGGCATGTCACTTCTGTGGTATTCTTGACAAAACTGCATAACCCCAGGAAAAAAAAACTGCAGACAAATCCAAATTGAGGGACGTTCTGCCAAATAACTGACTCTTTAAAGGTGTTGAGGTCGTAAGAGACAAGGAAAGACTCAGAAGCTGTGACAGATTGGTGGAAACTAGAGAGACATGACAACTAAATTTAATATGGGATCCCAGATTAGACCCTGGAACAGAAAAAAAGGTAGTGTAAAAACATAAATTCCAAATAAAGTCTGTAGTTTAGTTATTAGTACTAGTACTATACCAATTTAATATTTTTGTTTTGATAATTGTACTATGATTATTAAAAATGTTGATATTAGGGGAAGCTGGAGAAGGGTAAAAGGGAATTCTCTTTACTATTGCAAGTTTTCTATAAATCTAATATTACTTCAAAATAAATTAACAGGACTTCAGCTAAAATGTTGTGAAGTCTTTTTTATCTGAGGTAGATGGAAGTTGTTCAGCTTTAAGACTTTGTTACGCAAGCTTGATAAAATTTGATAAATTATAAGTCATTAAAAGAATAAAAGTAGAGGGAATAAATTTGACTTTTAGAGAGAAAAACTTTAAATAATGGAAAACACAAAAGACGAACAATAACAAAATTCAGTGATGTCCGGCTGGGCGTGGCTCAGTGGTTGAGCGTCAACCTAGGATCCAGGCGATCGGGGTTTGATTCCCAGTCAGGGCACATGCCCGGGTTGCAGGCTCGATCAATGACTCTCACATCTTGATGTTTCTCTCTCTCTCTCCCTCTCCTTTCCTCTCTGAAATCAATAAAGATATATTTAAAAAAAAAAAAAAAAATCAGTGAGATTTTTTTTTAAAAAGCAACAAAGGAGAAAAAAGGGAAATCAGAAGTAAAATTTTTAAATAAGGTAGAAATAAGTCCAAATATATTGATAATCAAAATAAATATGAATGGACTAAATAACCAATTAAAAGTCAGGTTTTAACTAAACAAAACAAAGCCTAAGTGCTATTTTTGAAAGATGACTCTAAGGCATAAGTTCATAGAAAGGGTGAGATGAAAAGGGTGGAACCCATGCCTGTATGTGACCTTGACTTATGGCAAAGGTGACACTCAGAGCACTGGGGAAAGGATGTCTCTTGATTCTAGATAACTGGGAATTCATGTGGAAAGAAGAAGATATTTGACCTCTATCATGTCATCCCCAAAATCAGTTTTATAGATGGGCTATAGATTTAAATGTGAAAAGTAAAACAATAAGACTCTAAGTAGATGATACCGGAGGATGTCTTTATGACATTAGAATAGAGAATGAATTCTTTTTTTTTTTTTTTAGTATACTGTCAGTAATCAGATCATTTCTCTTTTAAAAAAATTTCAGTTACAGTTGACATGAGAATGAATTCTTAATTGGACACAAAAAGCACTGTTTGTAATAATAACAGATTGGGAAAAGACATAAGTGTCCATAATTGGAGACATGTTGAATAAGTTATGTTACATCCGTGCATAGATCTAACTTCAACAGAATCTTAACCACACCAAGATGGACTGGGGTTTAATCAATACACTTTTGGATTTTGCTTTAACTTGTTGTTAAAGGTTATTAAAATAATCTGTATCCAAATGATCTCCACTCAAAAGTTTCTCAAAATGTATGGCTTATGGCTTTAACTATAATTTTAACTATGGCTTAGTCAACGTATTTGGGCTTATAATTTTCTATTTCCACAGTGTGTTTTGTCATATTTTAATTTGACGGGTTTTGATTTTAGTGCCTCGTTTAAGAAATTTGTTCTATATTTA